CGAGATATAAACTCCGAATTACAAAAAAAAGTTAAAGTTGCGAGATATAAACTCAGAATTACAAAAAAAGTTAAAGTTGCGAGATATAAACTCAGAATTACAAAAAAAGTTAAAGTTGCGAGATATAAACTCAGAATTACAAAAAAAGTTAAAGTTGCGAGATATAAACTCAGAATTACAAAAAAAGTTAAAGTTGCGAGATATAAACTCAGAATTACAAAAAAAGTTAAAGTTGCGAGATATAAACTCCGAATTACAAAAAAAGTTAGTTACGAGATATAAACTCCGAATTACAAAAAAAAGTTAAAGTTGCGAGATATAAACTCAGAATTACAAAAAAAGTTAGTTACGAGATATAAACAGAATTACAAAAAAAAAGTTAAAATTGCGAGATATAAACTCAGAATTCCCTAAAACGTCAAAATTGCGAGAGATAAACCAAGAATTCCGGAAAAAAGTTAAAATTGCAGGATATAAACTCAGAACTCTCAAAAAAGTCAAAGTTGCGAGAGAGATAAACCAAGAATTCTGGAAAAAATTGCAAGATATAAACTAAGAATTCCAGAAATAAAAAGTTTAAGTTGCGAGATATAAAATCTGAATTCCGAAAAAAGTAAAAATTGCTACAAGTAACCTCAGAATTACAAAAAAGTCAATTCTGAGGAAAAAAAGTCGCAATAACCTTTTTTTTAATTCCGTGACGGAAATTAGCTTCCATACAAGTCGGATGTAATGGAAGGGAGAAACTTCTCTGTCATTTAAGCAGCACATTTTACTATTGTAGCACGGAGTAGGCGCTATTCCTTACACCTGCTATGCCTCTTGCTAAATTTTGCACATTTACAGGTTGATTTTAGCTCGCTGGAGGGACCATTTTCAAGAAGTCGGGATCACCGAGAGCCAATGTGAAGTGTGTTTTTAAGGTTTTGTCATGCAGACTTCTCAAAAGGACAATGTCAGATCATTTCTAGTGACGTCTGTCAATCGGTTAGATTCTTGCCATTAAGCAAATCAGTGCAAACCTGCATTAACAAACATTTCTGACTGCTCCTGTAGAGAAGAAAACAAAATCAATGGATATCACATATACCGTCAGTCAGTACAGTTCAAATTGTCACCAAAACCAGTTTCTCAAGCAAGTTCTGCAATGTTTTGAGTTTCTTTGGTGATCCTGACAATGAACTTGCACGTTAAGGATGGATTATTTTCTCGCAAGCTCCTATTTAACGCATCTAAATACTCAAACCAACTGGGACAGCATTAAAATTGTTGGAGAAGTTTGTGACGAGCCATATTTGAGGACACTGAGTCTTTCTAGAAGTCTGCGAGGAGGAATAACACTACGCAAACTGGTCTTTTAGGTGATTGTACTGGTTTAAATGTGGTTTGGTTGCTTTAGTGATCCCGTTGTGTTTGTGTGTGTTTTGTGTGTGTGTGTGTGTGTGTGTGTGTGTGTGTGTGTGTGTGTGTGTGTGTGTGTGTATCAGACCTGTCTCTGGTGTGTGTTTTGTTGGGCATCTCTCTCATAATGATGCTGGATGGCTGCCGGTCCTCCTCTGAGTCGTGGGTTCTGCTGGGTTCTGCTGGAACCCTGATCTGGGACTGGACGTCTGTGTGCGTGGTGCTGTTATTCACTGTCCTGCAGGTGGCGCTCTATTATCTACCTGTGGGACCGGTGACAGAAGGCAAGATGGGCTGCGATGGAAAGCGTTTGAAATACAAACTCAATGGTAAGAGAAAATCCCATCTTCAGACCTCAAGCCTTTAATCAAATCAATATGGCAAGCAGAATGGGAAGCATCTCAAAATAACAAATTATTTGAAAGGAGTCCTGTGGTGGGAAAAATATGCATCTACCCTTGTAATTCCAGACATGATCAAATTGTGTATTCAAGGTATTGTAGAGGCCATACTAGAAGAAATCATGAGGGTTTTTTTTAAACACTCTTTATTGGCGTCAATGTTTCCATGACAAAACTTTAACATTCATTGAACCTTTCCATTTCACAAAAGGTTCTTTATTGTGGAAAATGGTTCTTTGGATTATTCATATGTGTCCCTGCAGCACAAAAGCAGTGTTGAGTCGCTGGGGGATATTTGTAGCAATAGCCAACAATACATTGTATGGGTCACAATTATACATTTCTCTTTTATGCCAAAAATCATTAGGATATTAAGTAAAGATCATGTTCCATGAAGATATTTTGTAAGTCTCCTACCGTAAATATATCAAAACTTAATGTTTGATTAGTAATATGCATTGCTAAGAACTTCATTTGAACAACTTTAAAGATGATTTTCTCAATATTTAGATTTTTTTGCACCCTCAGATTCCAGATTTTCAAATAGTTGTATCTCAGCCAAATATTGTCCGATTATAACAAACCATACATCAATGGAAAGATTATTTATTCAACTTTCAGATGATACATAAATCTTGATTTAAAAAAATTGACACTTAAGTCTGGTTTTGTGCTCCAGGGTCACAAATGTTCTTCACACTAAGAAAACCATTTTCTTTTCAGAGCTGTACACTGAAAGGTTCTTTGGGGAACCCAGAATGGTTCTTCTATGACATCATTGCAAAAACCTCCTTGTAGAACCTTTATTTTTAAGAGTGACTGGTGAAGAACCACCAAAATGTCCAGTGTAGCACTACATGTGTTTGGTCTCCAATTCTTAACGGCACGAAACAAGTTTTGAAGGACTTGTAAGACAAACCTAAGAAGACTTTTACCATTTTTATCACAAGTGCATTTAAAGAATCTTTTATAGAATTGTATATATGCCAAATATAAGCATGCCACATTTTCAATGTCATGAGACAACTATTTTTATTAGAATAAACTTTAAATAATTATTTTGTAAGATGGACCAAGAAACACTTTTTCAACAAAATTTTTTAGTCTTTTTTTTCCAAGTAGAATTTTATAAATGTTTTGTATTTATTGTACTTTTTTGTATTAAAAAGTGTTTCTTGTATTGTTTGTTTAATGTCGAATCTGTATCTGCCATATAATAACTAATAAAGCTGATATGGCAACAGATTTAAATATATCTAACTAAGCAACAATAAGAGATTGGGCACAAATATTAAGACAATAACCTTTCGACATGTTTTCTTTCAGGATGTTTTTGTTTGATCTGAGAGATCACTGAATCAACGATGAACTGACTTTAGCTGAGTGTTTACTATTGTCCTCCTGCATTATCGACACACTATTATCCTGTTTAACACTGTAAAGCTGCTTTGACACAATCTGTATCGTATAAAGCGCTATAGGAATAAAGGTGACTTGACTCATTTTGTAAGATGGACTCACAGAATTGTTTAGCCTTTTTTATAAAGCGGAGAGTTCCGGTGCTTGGCTCTGATTGGCTGAGCCGCGTTCGAAGCTGTTGTAAATGACGCTACAAAGTAACACACACCTTTGTTTACGTTTGTGTGTTGCTCGGCAACCACTTTGTAGCAACCACAACTGTTTCTGAGGAGCTACATTGTTTGGTGGAAGAATACTGTGTTTATTAATATCATTACACTTTATTTGCTCTGCTTTATTTTGTGAAACCTTACTACGTATATGGAATAGCTGTTTTATAAAAGCAGTAACCCCCGTGAAGCCGTGGTTTACAGTGAATTTATAACAGCTAAGGGGTTTAACGCCGCTTCACGTCGTACCTTACAACGCCCCTTAGCTGTTATAAACTCACTGTAAACCACAGCTTCACAATGGCAATGTTTGCATTTATGGTTGAGTATTGAGTGTGTATCTAGCCTATGAAGTTGATGTGGCAGTACATTTAAATGCAATCAACCAACGGTAAGAGACTGGGCACAGATATTAAGACAGTAGCCCGTTCCAGATGTGTTCTTTCAGGGTTTTTGTGTTCACTGAGCTCTGGGTTGATCTGAGATGAGTTCTGTGAAAGTGCTGATGGCGACACGAGCATCTTCTTTGCAGGTCTGCATGCGTTTCTCCTGACTGTGGTTCTGATGCTGGTTCTGTGGTTCGCTGGCGTTCTGCGGGCCGGTGCTGGGACGGTCAGGATCTTCTCTCTGGTGAGCGCAGCCATGGCCGTCTCTCTGATCTTCAGCCTCGCGCTGTTCCTGTGTCCAATCAGAACACCGTCCTCCGCACATGTGACCTACAACACGGGTATGACCCCTCAACTCCTCCCTGTCTATCCACAGCGCCTGAGGTCAGAGGTCATGTGTGTGTTTGTGTTGCACAGCAAAGCCCCTGCTGAAGTTTGTTCTGGGTCACAGTATGGATCCTCGTCTGGGCCTCATCGACATCAAGCACTTCGTGATGGTCAGGGTTGGGTTTATCGGCTGGGTGAGTCTGAGGAAATCATGATTCTGCGTTGGTCAAATGAACGCTCACTGATGTCTGTGTCGGTCCTGCAGGCCGTGATGGATCTGAATTATCTCCTGACTGCTGTAGAGATGAAGAACTCGTCTCTCGCTCTGCTGCTCGTCATCGTCTTCCAGCTCATTTACATACTGGACTTCCTCGTCGATGAGGTCCGCCGGAATAACTGTTTTTTATCAGTAGCAGTATTGTTTGTAGTTCATGTGGTTTGTTATTCACTTTAACAGAACAGGTAATGAATTGTATTTCTGGTGTCTGATGTGTTTGGACAGGGCTCTGTGCTGACGACCAAAGAGTTCACAGACGAGCCGATTGGGTTCATCATGATTTTGGGCGAGTTTATCTGGATCCCTTTCTTCTCCAGTCTGCCTGCTTACTTCCTGCTTCAGAGACCCAATCACATCCACTTCCTGTCTGCCGTCCCCATCTGTCTGCTCTTCGGTGACCTCACATAATAGAATATAACATCCATCTCATTAACTTGGTCTTGATTTCCAGTACAAATATCTAAGCTTTCTTAAATCAAGCTACAATTTTTACAAAAATGAACTAATTAAATATCACCATACCTACCCAGCTGATTAATAATAGATGTTATGTTTAAATATGCACATGGGGTATTGTCTTTTGATCAGTTTTTCAGAAAGCAAGACTCAATATCTATGTTCAAGTAAATGATGCGTTTCAAATGTTTGGCATTTGTAAGATCATGTTTCACACATTCAAGTAGACGATGCAAATCTTTGTGATGCAGTGATTGTTGTAATTCTCAGTGTTGTTTATTAACAGCTGCTGGCTTCCTGATGTATTACCTGTCTAACGAGCAGAAAGATGGTTTCCGCAGAAATCCCAGTGATCCGGCCTACGCTCGTATGTGACCTCTTCTCATCCTCATTCTGCTTGCTCTTATGTCTTCCGCTGTTAACACACCAGGTCATTTGAACTTTGATTCGGCTTAAAGCTGAATGCAGGTCCATGCTGATGATCTCAGTCTCTCTCAAAGGTCTGAACACAATCCGCAGCCCGGCGGGAAGCAGTCTGCTGGTGTCCGGATGGTTCGGATGGGTCCGACACCCCAATTACTCAGGAGACATCCTGATGATGTTTGCCTGGTGTCTGCCATGCGGTACGGTTTAAAAGAGTGGAACGCATTCAGATCGGTTTTACGGTTTAGTGCATGAGTAATTGAGCTAGTTTGTGTCCTGCAGGGTTCACCAGTGTTTTGCCGTACTTGCCGGCGCTACAGTGCTTTCATTTATTGAGGCAACGAGCCAATGAGATCGAAGAATCCTGTCTGAAGAAGCACAGAGACGCCTGGCGGGAGTACTGTCGACGAGTGCCGTACAAACTGCTGCCTTGCGTGTACTGAGCATCTCTCATCTGTGTGTTTACATGAACCGCCCAAAGCATTGCTCTCGTGAGGAGTTGTTACTCCTAGCTGTGTGGATCCCATGATTTGAACTACTAGTACACAGCCAAACGTCATTCAGTTCATTGATTTAACCCGTGACATTTAGTTTTGTTTGTAGAAATCATGTATTAAGGTTGATTCAGAGAGATTAAATAAACAATTTTTTCAGTGTAATGTCACATTTAATTTCCTTGTTTTAAAAAAAAACAAGAACAACTTGATAGCGGATTGATTTATATTTATATTGGGTGTCAAACATAATTATGTGCAATGTGCTTGTTAATGCTGTATTGCATATACAACACGTGCTGCCGCGGTGTAATTATAGATGTGATTACAGAAATTAATTCTGAGGTGGTTACAAAGCAACAACATTAATGTGCACAATGAGTGTATTTAATTAGGCTATTTATAACTTAAAATTGTACAATTTTAACTACAAGTTTGAATTAATCATAAAGCTGCACTGCAAACACACCTGAAGTATTCTGAAGTATTCTACATTTGGAAAATGTTTAGTTTTGATGTTAATTGGGAAAAAACTAAACAGAAAAACTAAATGTATTTAATCATTGTTGTTGTCGTGTTTACAGAATGTACAAATTGCAATGTTTTGAACGGCAGGACCCACTTTTGTACCTTCTTCTTGCTGAACTACAGTAATATTTTGAGCCTCTTTCCAGTTAATAAGAAAGCTTTAAAAACACTTGAAATATTTGACTTTGAAGTGATTTATTTCGACTTTTCTCCTTTGTTTTAACAGCCACTTTCTATGTTTATAAGATGTTCTCAATAAAAATAGCCTAAATATATCAAAACTAGTCTTTGTCCTTTAGTCCAAGTGATTGAGCTCTTTATATCTGAAACATTTCCCAGAATAAAATGTAAATACGAACACTGTAATCTAACATAATTAGCCATGCTGTACAATCAGCAGCATGTAAATATCACAGACTGCATAGAAATCTATCGCCAAAGTCAACATTAAAGTAGTTATTAAAAAGGTGCATATCCATAAGTCTGAGTTCTGACTGGCTTTTATATAGCAGTACAGTGACAATAAAGACAGGAGAATAGTGCGTTTAATGTAACAAGCTGCTCTGGATTCGGAAGAGGATGTTGTGCTGGGAGTCAGAAAGCGGAGACGCGGGTTGCCAGGTTTGCACAACAAAAACCCTCCCAACTGCTCAAAACTAGTCTTTTTTCGATGGGGGTCCTCCGGTAAACAATCGCGTTCCGGGTGGAGGGGAGTTTTTTTCGCGTTGTTCCTCTAGTAAAATTCGCATTCCAGTGGCTAAATATCACGTTATTGGGGACGCTCCAACAGTGTTAAAGAAGCCCATTTCCGCGTGAAAACCCCGGACCTGGCAACACTGACGGTGGCTGATGGGAGACTATCGCAGGGGTGCCAAGGGGAGGGGTTAACTAGTCTTTTTTCGATGGGGGTCCTCCGGTAAACAATCGCGTTCCGGGTGGAGGGGAGTTTTTTTCGCGTTGTTCCTCTAGTAAAATTCGCATTCCAGTGGCTAAATATCACGTTATTGGGGACGCTCCAACAGTGTTAAAGAAGCCCATTTCCGCGTGAAAACCCCGGACCTGGCAACACTGACGGTGGCTGATGGGAGACTATCGCAGGGTTGCCAAGTGTAGGGTTTTCACGCGGAAATGCGCTTCTCGCCGCGGGTAGTTTTTCATGTCCGAGGGTTGAAGCGACCCCAATAATGGGATATTTAGCCACTGAAATGTAAATTTTACCGGAGGAACAGGGCAAAAAAAACGTGTATTGTGTAACGTGTATCCCCCGGAACGAGATATTAGCCGGGGGAGCCCCGCCCCCTCGAAACGCCACTGGGTTAGCTCTGAGCAAATGGGCGGGTTTTGTTGTGAAAACCTGGCAACCCTGACTATCAGCCATTTCACCTCAAACTCTCTTCAAGCAGCAAAACCCCGCCGCAGCGGAACAAAACCTCCCGAAACACCGGACAGGTGAGTCCGCGCCCGGTTACCGGTAACCGGTGACATTCAGCTCGGTGATGAATAGGAGTATCGCGCTGAAATCGCTATTAAAGCGTCTCGAGCTGCAATAACGCGCTTTTTTCCGCTTCCCTTCGATGAGATAAGCTCATTCTCGCGCTTTCGCTCGCAGTAGTTTTCTCAAACGCTTGCTGAAAGTGTGCGCCACCGCTGAACGTGCTCGGTAACGCGTTAGACACCGCGTCGCGTCGGCTCTGCTGTTTTGTGTCTTCGCTCACTTTTCGAGCAGCCATTATGTCATCAGCCCGAGGGGCGGGGCTGGACGGGCACACTGAGCGCTGATTGGCGCGGCGTGCGTGAAGCCACGCCCCAACCGCTTGTAAATGGGCGGAGAATGTGTTGATTGACTGGCGTCACTGAAACCGTGGAAACCCCGTGCATGATAATGATGTAAATAATCAATGTACTGTTTAAACACGTTCGCACTTTTGAGATTTTGTGTCGATATATTATTTGATGCTAAAATAACTACATTTACAACAGTTTAAATAATTACATTTGATAAAAAATAAAAAATAAAATCTAATTTAATTTAGATAAAAAAGCAAAATAAATTGAATAAAATAAATAACATTTGATTTATTGGACTAATATTGAATGATATTAGTTTGAATAATCAATAATATATGAATAACTGAATAAACAAAAACATTTAAACTAAATTATTAAAATAAAAAACAAATACCTCTAATGTAACAATACTATAGAAAATATTTAGAAGCGTTTTATATTTTTAGGATGGGGCCCCTTATATAAGGATGATCATGTTTGGGGTCCAAATAAGTGTGTAATGTTGTGTGTGTTGTGTTTGAGGTGAGCGTGTGTCAGGATGGCCCGCACGAAGCAGACCGCCCGTAAATCCACCGGAGGAAAAGCTCCTCGTAAGCAGCTGGCGACTAAAGCGGCCCGTAAGAGTGCGCCCTCTACTGGCGGAGTCAAGAAGCCCCATCGCTACAGGTACTGAGCCGCGAGTGGTGTCTGGTCTGGAGCCGCGGGACGAGCGCTGACGGCTCTGTGTGTGTCTGTAGGCCCGGGACCGTGGCTCTGCGTGAGATCCGCCGCTACCAGAAGTCCACCGAGCTGCTGATCCGCAAGCTTCCCTTCCAGCGTCTGGTGCGAGAGATCGCTCAGGACTTCAAGACCGACCTGCGCTTCCAGAGCGCCGCCATCGGAGCGCTGCAGGTCAGTCCTGCTCAGGGCTATTATAGTGAACCAGTAAACTGCGTTTAGCTGATCACAAATACTGTAAAAACAGGGAAATATTATTAGAATGTTTCTGTGTGAATCTCTGTTAAACTGTAATGTATTTCTGTGATGTGCAGCTGTATTTTCAGCATCATTCCTCCAGTCTTCAGTGTCACATGATCTTCAGAAATCAGTATAATATGCTGATCTGCTGCTCCAGAAACATTTCTGATTATTATCAGTTATTAAACAGTTCTGTGTGTGTGTGTGTGTGTGTGTGTGTGTCTGTGTGTCTGTCTGTCTGTCTGTGTGTGTCTGTCTGTCTGTCTGTCTGTGTGTGTGTCTCTGTCTGTCTGTGTGTGTCTGTCTCTGTGTGTCTGAGTGTGTGTGTGTGTTTGTCTGTCTGTCTGTCTGTCTGTGTGTGTGTGTGTGTGTGTCTGTGTGTCTGTCTGTCTGTCTGTGTGTGTCTGTCTGTCTGTCTGTCTGTGTGTGTGTCTCTGTCTGTCTGTGTGTGTCTGTCTCTGTGTGTCTGAGTGTGTGTGTGTGTTTGTCTGTCTGTCTGTCTGTCTGTGTGTGTGTGTGTGTGTGTCTGTGTGTCTGTCTGTCTGTCTGTGTGTGTCTGTCTGTCTGTCTGTCTGTGTGTGTGTCTCTGTCTGTCTGTGTGTGTCTGTCTCTGTGTGTCTGAGTGTGTGTGTGTGTTTGTCTGTCTGTCTGTCTGTCTGTGTGTGTGTGTGTGTGTGTCTGTGTGTCTGTCTGTCTGTCTGTGTGTGTCTGTCTGTCTGTCTGTCTGTGTGTGTGTCTCTGTCTGTCTGTGTGTGTCTGTCTCTGTGTGTCTGAGTGTGTGTGTGTGTCTGTCTGTCTGTCTGTCTGTGTGTGTGTGTGTGTGTGTGTGTCTGTGTCTCTCTCTGTCTCTGTCTGTCTGTGTGTGTGTGTGTGTGTGTGTGTCTGTGTCTCTCTCTGTCTCTGTCTGTCTGTGTGTGTGTGTGTGTGTGTGTGTCTGTGTCTCTCTCTGTCTCTGTCTGTCTGTGTGTGTGTGTGTGTGTGTGTGTCTGTGTCTCTCTCTGTCTCTGTCTGTCTGTGTGTGTGTGTGTGTGTGTGTGTCTGTGTCTCTCTCTGTCTCTGTCTGTCTGTGTGTGTGTGTGTGTGTGTGTGTCTGTGTCTCTCTCTGTCTCTGTCTGTCTGTGTGTGTGTGTGTGTGTGTGTGTCTGTGTCTCTCTCTGTCTCTGTCTGTCTGTGTGTGTGTGTGTGTGTGTGTGTGTGTGTGTGTGTGTGTACTCTCAGATGAGCTCTTGTGTCGTGTCGTCGTGTGATTTAAAGCACAAGAGTTCAAGCCCTCAGGGTGATTAATTAAGGACTCCAGGCACTAATCAACACGTCCTGTTCCTGAATGAAAGAAATGGACGTTAAATCTGAAACTGAATCGGGTGCTAAACGGCTCTCTGGAAGAGCCAGAATCATCATGAAACACTTTTGTTTCTTGAAATATGTTTTGTATGTGTATTGTTTGAGTGCTTTATAACGATTATCTTTATTTTCCTGAGATATGATTTCAGTGATGCGTTCTGGGATTGGCGGGGGTTCTGCTGAGTCTGGTGTTTTTGATGAGCATATGCAGCCACAGACTGTATTTTATACCATTTGATAGCTTCTTCACGAGTTGTTTCGGTAGACGCTCACTCAGGTTTTTCTACACTCGTTCATGGTTTTATCACAAGATGATTATGTTTGCTTTGTTTTTGTATGTGTGTAAGTCTAAAAAGCTAATCTTTGTACGACACGAATACAGAATTAGACAATAAATTGTTGAACTGTTATTGAGTCTGTTTTGTGGAAATATTTCACCTCCAGTATCGTTATCGTTAACAGTGTAATTATGGGATGTTTAAAATATATATATATATATATATATATATATATATAATAAAATTAAAG